TTGAGGTTATGTTTTAAAATGTTTGGTCCTAAGTAAAGCGTTTAGGACCAAATTCTTTTTATAGCGATAGCGTGTCTCGCGTGTTACATTTTTAGTGGAATAAGTTAAGGTTATAGACTTTTTGCTTCTTTGTTTAAGTCGTGATATGGTTATACATATACTTAAGTAAAAAATGTATGTGTGTTTGTTTAGGATGCTGCTCTATGGAGGTTTGTGTTGAGCATGTTATTTATTATTTGACTTTTTGGCTTTCTCTTCGTCACGTTTACTATAACTTAGCGCTTTATATTTGTGTTAAAATATCAATTTATCTCTAGCCAAGGTTGCGGATACGAGTGCAGAAATGTACCGAGGCTCCAGCCATAGGAGGGTGGGGGGTTTTTAGTCAGAATGAGTCCAACATTCTAATAATTAAAGAAAATTGAATTAGAGTCGTATTCAATTCTGAAATTTGAAAAAATAAATTTATCTCCAAAATTACAACTTTCGGTTACTTTGTTCTGGTTCTGTTTCAGTTTGGACGAAAAATCTCAACGAAAGGACTTCTATAAATCTTTACTATTACATATTAATATTATAAAGTTGCAGAGTTCGTTTTTTGTACGCGCTAATCTCTGGAACTACTGGTTAAAATTTAACAATTCTTTTTGTGTTTGTTAGTCCATTTTATATAGGAAGGCTATAATAGGCTATAAAACATTACGCTACGATATGTGGCGGGTGAAACCGCGGGACAGTAGCTAGTATTTGTATACAGATGACAATAAATGATTGCACATATACTTCTGAATTTGTGGGTAGGGCAGATCAATTAACTTAGTGCTTAATTATTGAACACCATGTGCAGTGTGGCTGCGAATGACCTAATTCACACTAATAGACTGGGATGAAGATAGAATCAATTGGATGGGTTTCTAAGATCCAGTTCATTAGACAAGCTACGGGATCATTGTTCACATAATTAGGCACATCTCTGGGACCTAGGTAGTACTTATATATTAGTACTAAGTTTGTCAAATGAATTAAAATAAGACTTCCAGTTAAATCGCTGATCGATCTTCGAAATAAGTTGATATTTATAAACGAATCATGGGTTGTCGATTTGAATATTGTCTGTAGAAAGGATTTCATTGTCTTGTGACCGTTTAATAAGTTCCGATATTAAAATTATTACAAGAAGACAGTTGCTCATTTTCGTGGTGGCACATACTCGCGGCGCCGTAACTCTTAAGAATGAGCATTTGAAGATATTTGAAGATTACAATAAAATGTGCTAACTCGTGCTTTATGCATCTACGTACTAATGACAAAAATATTTTTTAAAGGGTTCACCATCAAATGTTTTTTCTAATCCCTAAAAGGTCGGCAACGCACTCGTAATTTCTCCGATGCGGGTGTCCATGGGCTTCGCTGATTGCTTACCATCAGGTAATCCGTCTGCTCCTTTGCCGACCTATTACATAAAAAAAACTCTTACACACCTGTTCCTTCTCCTGATACAGTCCGGGTAGAGGGAAGCACGGTTCGCACGCTTGCACCCGCAATCTGGATTATTGTTGTAATAAAGTAACAAAGATAGAACATTCCAAATTAAAATCAAAATCGCATCAATAACTTGATTATTCAAATTGCAATTAATTTGAGTATTTATCTAAACTACTGAGGTGTCTATTAATTGTCTGATTAGTATAAAGTCAAGCTTATGTTGTGTAGCGATGGCTGTCGGTCGTATCGTAAACATTCGCTCGATGGGCGCGCTGACATATTCTTAAGGGCTTCGTTGCGAGAAGGACCAAATTCAATGTTTTCTTTTGGCGTTTTTTATTTCAACAATCCAAAACCGACTAGAGATATAAATTAGAAGGTTTTCCATAGCCATAATTTGCCTTCCGTCACGTCTTAGTGGCCCAGGGGTCCAAAAACTGGGAAGTATCAATGTATTTTTTCAGAGTTATATGTACTTTCTATGTTCATTTAGACACCACTGGCATACGGTGAAGTAAAACATCGCGAAGTAACCTAGACTTATCAATGACAATTTCTAATTATTATAAGTTTGAAATCGCTAATCGACCTTGAGCAAGCGTGGTGATGAATGATCAAATTTCTTCTCAAGGCAAGCAGCCTCTGCTCAGCAGTGAGCCCTTATAGACTGATGATGATGATGATTATTTTCTTTCAGCTTAATAGGTAGCTTGAAAAGGTTCACGTTTATCAGAGAGCATTACGGCGCGGCATTTGTCAAAGTTCCAGTCACTTGACGAACGTTGACGATCTCGGAAACACTGTGGTGGCATATTTATCACAGCTCTGATCGCTCAAATCTAATGCAGATGGGATCAGCACGTGATCATATCACACTCAATTATATTAAAATGTATTTATTTCCCTATGACACATAGATTCAAGGAATCTCTATCAGTAACTAAGTCTAGATGTTTATATTTCTCGATGGACGATAATCCCGCTGACCTTAGCGCGGCGTGTACATGTGGCGTTGTTTGTACTTGTGAACCATCCAACATGAGACATGTTTATGATGATTATATTACACCTGCTTGGTTCTAATGAAGGTGTTTACCGATAAGACTGCTTCGAAAGTCTAAAGGTTGCTAAAAAACTAAAAGATCGGGAAAAAAGTTCTCTGGATTGAGCATTAGATTATTTGACTTGGAAACTCATTTTTTTTATGGTATAAGTCGGCAAATGAGCAGGCGGATTACCTAATAGTAAGCAATCGGTGCCGCTCATGGACACCCGCAACACCAAAGGAGTTACGAGTGCGTTGCCGGCCTTTTAGGGATAGGGGTTGCTGATATATGGATTGGGGAGAGAAAGGGCCTGGGGGGGGATTGGGCCTCCGGTAACCTCACTCACACGACGAAACACAACGCTGTGGTTGTTTCACGCCGGTATTCTGTGAGGCCATGGTATCACTTCGGTCGAGCCGACCCATTCGTGCCGAAGCTTGGCTCTCCCACAATTCAATAAATGGTCATAAAAAACACATAAAAAGGTCTTCTCCAGCCCTGGGTAGTGTTACGACGTGAGCTAAAAGACCTAAGCGGTTTTTTGGAACTCATTGACAGAGTAAATATCTATTTCGTTTTACTAGGGCATGAATATAAGACGACACAATCGGAATTTGCGATTACAAATAAAATAACTCGAGGTTATCTATAAGGGGAAGGTCAAGTATGAGATTACTATTACTTAAGATCATCCACAAGTCTGAAGAATCTATGTATTACAAATATAAGATGTTCTGTTCCGATTTGATTGCATACGAGGTCGTATAGTTTATATAAAACTGGAGGCGAATCGCTTCGTGAGTGTTGGGTGGATATTCACCATGAAGCGATGACGTTTTTCCAATTGTCTGGTTGTACAATGGTGGAAAGGAATAGGAGAAATCAATTTGTGTATCTCCCACCAAAATGTATCCGATGTTAAACCGATAGGCTCGTAACTATGCACCTGTTTTCGAGGCCTTGAAGTCGGGCCTCCACTAGCGCATCGTCGTTGATGAGCCTCTTGGCACGCTTCTCAATGTATTCTAATGTGACTAGCTGGTGTTTAGCAGAGCCGTCCCATATATGAGAAACGGTGTTTTACACTACGATTTTCTCCTTCCGTATCGTAGGTACGTTTCCAATACATATACAAATACATATGTATAATGTCACATTCATATTATCAGACCAACAGGGAACAACAATTTGTGAGATATTCCCGCGGGAATAGTATCCGTTATTATCGTCAGCCTTTAAGTGTAAGCCGGTAAGCAAAAGTCTCTTCTCTAACGGAGAAGGTTTGAACAATAACAACCACCTTTGTTGAAGACGGATTGGCGATTTCAAACTCATAATTTAATTTTTTGATTGATTGATTGGACAGTCCTTTTCCTCAAGACATTTTCCATCACCGTATCGTCAGTGACGTCTAAATAATCTTAGAAAGTGTACTTAATTGCCAGCCTTTAAGTATGCACCTCTTGGAATGATGAACATTTGTAAATAAATTTTAAAATTGATTTAATGAAAAACCTTAACCTTTGGACCAGCATGACATGCGAAATAGGTAGTGTGTGATGACAAAGTTGATGGCTGAGAAACTCTGTAGGAACTTCTTGAGAACAAATCAGTATTTAAGTGGGTTCATTGTGCAGTAGGTAAGCAGAATTATTCAATTCAGTGTTGTCATCGAGAGGAACGCGCGGGCGGTTGCACGCTATCATGATCGACAATGTTTCTTATTTAGCTGTGGCCATTTTGTCTAGATATTAATAGGTTTTGTTAGTTGGTGGTCTAGATTTCTAGATGTACATGTGCTTGCTGGTTGGAAACAACAAACGAGATGTATTTGAAATAAGAATGTATTTTAAATTACATAAAAATCTAAAATATGTACCCCCTTATTGCAAAACAAGATTTATTTTTAGTCCAGGTTTAAACCATGGAGTCGGGTTTTGAATTTGGAATCTTTTCCTTCCATTCGAAATACAAAAACTGGCTCAATGGTTTAGACCTAGACTAAAGTAAAACCTTGTTTTGTAATAAGGCCGGTCAAGATTTTTCGTTAATTAAGGGCTAATTTTTCAATGGTTAGATAAAAGTTATCTGGGGAATAATTATGATGCTGTCGCGTCAGAATGTTTGTATAAGACAGTGACTGTAACAATTTTATTCCTCAGATAAGAATTATCCGACTATTGAAAAATCTGCCCTAAGTATACATATTACGCTTTACTAGCTACTGTGGCGCGGTTTCACTCGTTGCTCAGTTCCTATGGGTCGTGGGGTGATGCTAACAGCCTTAGAGTACTTCAGAACATTGTAGCTATCTATCAATAAAATAATTTTGGAAATCCGACCAGCTGTCCAAACATTACCCCTTATACAAATACTTACAAATACTTTATCACCATATTATATTAGTATAGATTTTATTAATGAAACTTTACTTATCATGAAGTTAACTTTACAAATTCCTGTCCACAGCTCTCTCTTCATCCGAAGAACTAGAAGTGACAGACACATGTTGCGCACACGGCGAGAGCGCGGCGGTGACGGCGCCGACATGCGCAGGAATCACTCCACCTGAAGACATTGAACCTGAACAGATGACCGTGTGCCTTGCAGCTATATCCAGCTGTTGTGAAAAGCAGCTTAAGTAAGTCTTTTTTATAGGAATTTTTCAGAGGACGCCTGTTTTGTGCGGGAGGATAGAGCCTGCATTTAGTCAGTCAGTGTTGCTGTTTCGATTTTTTCCATCTTTTTTGTTAATCCATAAAAATAAATACTGAGAATGTACAAAATACAAACATGTGTTTTGAAACGTGAATTTAATCTTTTAGATGGAGAGATATAGTTAGATTTTTTCGAGGCCTAGGTAGGTACTTAGTCTAATGTAGTTCTTTGATTTAATTTTTGACTGTCTTTAATATCGATTTATTTATTTATTTATTTATTTTTACACTTCTTGCACATCGTACAATGGCGGACTTAACGCCTTAGGCGTTCTCTGCCAGTCTACCTTTGGGTGGTGGAGAAATAGCAGTGGTAGGTGCATCTTCTTGATAAAAACAAGGAAAAAAAAACACATGCTACAAAATTATTGCTCATACATATATCAATAAATATAAATATTATACAATACATATTTAATTTAATTTAATATAATTATACAATAGATTTAATTTAATTACCTCGGATAAAATAAATTATATATTTTTTCAGGCTTAAAGAATCATGTGCAGCGGGAATGAAGTTGGCTGCAGCCAAAAAATGTAGCTATGCAGACTCAGACATCGGCTCGGTAATATTCCTTAGTCAACAAAACAATTGCTTTTTCTTCTCAATTTTCGGCTCCAAAGTCTTTCTCGTATAGTTTTAAATATAACTTGTTTTTTTTTAATTACATATGACATTTTTAGCCATTCATCTAAGTGACCTATCTTACTCATACATAACATAAGGTGAAATAATTATTGCTTTTTTATAAATATTTATAGTAATTCGAACAAAATACTTTTTTCATTTAGTCATGCTGTGAAGAATGTTCGCTTGGAAAATGGACTGGTGAATCTCAGGGTAAAGGAGGGTGTGGGCCCGCGCCCTCATCCGAGGGCATCAGCCCTTCCACTGCGTTGAGGAAAGGCGCTTATCATCGATGTTGTGTGGTAAGAAAAGCATACTTCTTTACTAAGTATTTAGACTTACTATTTTAAGTTACATTGCCTCGCATTAGGATTTTCTCCTATGTTGTGGGTATACCATTGTCACATTGTCACATACCTACACATCACACTAGACCCGGAACAACAAATTGCTGATCACATAAAGAGTTGTTCCGTACTGAAATCGAAACCACGACAATTTGCAGATTAGATATCTGCAAAAATTATAACTTTAGGAATAGTCATTGACTTTTATATTATTCATTCTCGACTATTGGGTAAGTATACAGTTAAACAATAATATAATGAAAAGTTATAAATCATTTTTAGAGTTACAAAATAAAATATGAATGCACTGAAAGGTACAGATAATAAATGTAGTAGTATTATTTTAGTATGAGGTTTGCATAATATAAAGTACAATTCTGGGCTCCTAAGTGTAACTTAGGTGCAGAAATAGAATTGTAATAGGATTACGAATTTCGAAGCAACGATATTTAATGAAGACTGAGGCTATCCAAAAAATACATATCCTTTATCGAAAATAACAATTTAACGTATATAGGAAGCTGCTGAAACCCCAGAAACGACAACCGAGAAGAAACCAGAGTCCACCACAGAGAAGAAGATTGAGGTCACCACGGAGAAGAAAGTAGAGAAGCAGAAGTGCCAGAAGGACTCCTGTGAACATGAGTGCAGTGATGAGGATGGCGTCGTGAGATGCTCGTGTCGTGAGGGATTTAGGCTGCAAGATGATAAGAAATCCTGCAAAGGTAGGATCTAGTTACATTTTAAGAAATATACATTAATAAATTGTAAACCGGTTAGTCAGAGAAGAGAGCAAAAGCAACCAGAACAGACGGATGACAAAATGATCAACAGAAGATTATTTCTTAAAGAAAGCTCAGAACATGAATAAAACTTGCCTTGTTCTTGTCCAATTAATCTCTATGTAACACCATAATGTTTTGGAATCCGTCTAAATCCAGTCAATTTGTTTCATTACTTGAACAAATAAGTTTTCTCTAATATTATTTTATAAATTTCACATCTCCTATTGCCATATATAGCTTGGGATATATGTATATTATTTATGTGGCAGTATTGTTTAATAACAAAGTATAATTTACAAGATTTACTGCTATATTTGGCTATGGCTAGATTTACTTTTGCTTATTATTATTAATCATCATACTAATATTACCCAATCAGCAACTAGAGATCCTGGTCCTAAGATACGTAGAAGGACCAAAAATTTTCATCACGCTTTTTTATACGAATTTATATTGTAATTGTATTTATAGTTTTATAATATGCATAGATATATTTATGCTTATATGTAGTATGTATGTATATTGTACATAAGTATTTATTATACTAAATAGATATAAATGAGTGTGCGGAAGCTACGGATGATTTGTGTACAGCTGAAGATACAGTTTGCCACAACACACCTGGAGCGTTCAAATGTGTGTCCATCAAGAAGAGAGATGTGGGACTTAGCTGTCCTCCTGGATTCAAAAGGAACCTCATCAATCAGGTCTGCGATGGTGAGTTGAATTATTTTTCTGATAAGTACATGAAGGTAATAGTATCTTTATGAATAAGAGTCCCGTTGTGACTTAAAACTAGTTGAGATTTTCTCAGTTACTTAAAAAGCGGTCATTTTTAGTAAGTAAAAACTCGTCTCACGATAGGAAACTAAGTTATTTTGAGAAAAGTCAACTGCACTTGTTTTAACTAGCGAAATGGAATTATGGTCCTCCCACACTTGAAATGGTAACTGACTTAATATGTACTATTGGTATCTCTATCTGGTAACGACTAAATAATATTTGGCAATATTTTCTTTATCAATATTATAACAGACACTTCTAAATAAATCAAAATCGATTCATCATTATTTGCGAAAGCTTCTGGTTAAACCTTACATTTCAATTAGAAGTTTGAGGAGATCAAAAAAATATCATGAACCGAACCATTGAAAACGACAATTACTAAACATCACACTATCTTGGCATTTAAGATTTTTTCACCATTTATTCACCACTTAATTCCAAATTCAACAGATATCAATGAATGCCAAATGCCTCGCCCTCCATGCCCGAAGTACCTGTGTGAGAACACAATAGGTGGATACAAGTGCGCCGGAAAGTCGGGCAAACCATTCACTGAAGCAGTCCCCGGAGCAGTTACTGAGGCTACCGTCAGTTCCACTGCCTCACCCAAGAATGACATCTGCCCACCTGGGTTCAGAGCTGGACCTGATGACGAATGCATTGGTAATATGAGTACACATAACAACAGACTATTTGCTTAAAGTAACAACAGAAGTGGTTCTTTTCTTCTAACTAAAGCTTTTGTCAGATCCGTGTATAGCTCTCGTTTTAAAACTCCTCATTATTCTAACCAAAATTCAAAGGTCTCTAATTTAATTTTAAAGACATTTTTTTGTAAAAACTATTAATTCTTATAAACCACAACTCTCCAATTATAACACCACTAGAGGAGATTTCTGACAGACTCTGATGGAAATTGCAACACGACAGTGATTGAAAAACTTTTTATTAAGTACTTGTATTTTTAGAGTATTGACTGTTATAATATATTCCCACCAGATATCGATGAATGTGGAGAGCGTTTGGATGACTGCCAGCGTCTATCACAGCACTGTATTAACACGCACGGTGCCTTCTTCTGCCAAGACCACGTCTCCAAGCGCTGCGCTCCCGGTTTCAAGGTCAACAGTGCCACCGGCATATGTGAAGGTTTGATTCTTGATAGACTTGCTTTAACTTGAAAGACCAGTTCATCACTGATTGCGAGTCATCATTATTCACTCTCCAAAATAGTAAGCAGTGGAGCAAGTATTGAATAAATGCTACCACACTTTTGCCAGCTATAAGATTTATTCAGTGCAGTATTTGATAATTGGTCAACTTCAATATTGTTATCGAAATGTAATTTTTTTTCTAAAATATATCAAATCAAATCAAATCAAAATCATTTATTCCAACTAAACCATAAATAGGTACTTTTGAAACGTCAAAATAGAATAGTAGTCTGTCAGTCTGTTCGTCAGTGAAGCTAGGTGCTCGTTCCAAATTGTAGTTTCGAATGGAGAAGAACGAGCAAGAAACTCCATCGTTACTCTTTTAAAAAAAATATTTGTTTTAGAATTCATCAATAATACATTTTTTATACATTACTGTACCCCTATGTGAGAACAATGCAGAGACAAGTTGTTAATAAAAAGGAACAAATGATGGTCTAATTAATCTATCATTAAAATTTTAATCCTTTGTTGTCTCCAACATGGCGGTCACATATGCGTACTCACAATCCAAAAGAATGCTTCTATATAAACTCATTCAAGGTTTCATTAATTTTGAGAATTTTAATAAAAACTGACTACATATTTGAGAATTGTCCAGTGGAGCCGAACCAACATGCTGCCAGGCATTCTTATCCTCAATATAATCTGAAAGTTTGTAGTATGCCTGTCTACATAATTCGCGTTTAATATAAGTTTTAAATTTTTGTTCATTAAGATTTAATACACTTCTTGGAATTTTATTGTAACAATTTACACAGAACCCCATAAAGGATTTCTGTACTTTGGACAGACGGAATCGTGGCACAGCCAGCCTATCTTTGCCTCTAGTATTAAAATTATGTCTATCGCTTCTTTTTTCAAATAATTGCAAATTTTTCCTTACGTACATAATATTTTCATATATAATGTAATATATATATTACTATAGTATATTACTTCCTTCAAATCTTATTTTATAAGTATTCTTTTTGCTCATGTTGTAGGTCGTTAAATATTACTATCTATTATATTATAAATTATTTTTGAATTTGGAAAATACAAAACTTCGTTAAAGATTCCGTTTGAGGATTGACTATAAAGTTACCGTTACCCATTTTTCAGATATCGATGAATGCGAGGAGAGTTCAGAAGAGGTGTGCAAGCGCACTGAAGTTTGCATCAACCTGCCAGGAGCATACAATTGCAAGTCTAAAATAAGCACACTACCAAAGTAAGCACAACTTCTAGAAGATAAACTTCACCAATAAAGATATGAAAGGAGGTTTGATTTAGAGTGCTTTTTTGGTGAGAGGAAAACCATCAAATGACTTCTCCCGCCCAAGGTGAGGCGGGAGGGAGTGTCAGACTTTTACTGACAAAAAACCCCCAGTTCCTTCTATCGCTCTGAGCAGAGGCCGCGGTGCCTCATTGCACTTACCCCGCAACCCCGGCTAAACATCAGCTCTTTAGGGCCCTGTCTGTGGTGGTTCTTTGAGGCGCGAGCGGAACGCTTCGCGCCGTAGGCTGATTTAGAGTGCTTAAGACGCAAACGAAGATCATTCATTTTATGAGAATTTTTATAAAAAAGCTAGAACTTCATTGCATTACTTGTATTTTCCAGGTTGACCCCAAAAATTTGCCAAGAAGGAACTAGGCTTAGTTCGGGAGGATCCATTTGTGAAGGTAAGTTATGAATGACCTCATTATGAGCCACCTAATTATGAAAATTCAATAATCTTTATAAATCAAACTCAAAGTCAATTTATTCCAACCAAACCATGAATTGAAACCACAAAATAGAAAATAGTCTGTCAGTCTGTTCGTCAGTGTAGCTAGGTGCTCGTTCCAAAGTGTAGATTAGTGTAGATAGATCGAATGGAGAAGAACGAGCAAGAAATACCATAGTTAGTATTTTTTTTAGTTTCGTTGGATGATCACTCATCTTACCTACCAAATTAGACTTCTGAATATGTTAAAAAAGTATATTAATCTTTCCAGATATCGACGAGTGTCGTGAGGGTACTCACTTGTGTGATCAGTTCCAGAACTGTATCAATACATATGGAGGACATGAATGTAGGTGTAAGAATGGATTTGAGCTCGACTCCTCATCTGGATCTTGTGTCGGTATGTAGTCATTTTTAGCATGGTTCTTTTGTTTTCTATGTTTACATGAACAGGTGTTTTATTTGGTTTAAAATGCACAGGATATTAAGGTAACTTAACCAATTAGGTAAAAGTGTTCACTCGTATTTTTTTTTGCATTGAGTTATTGTTCAAAGTGGGTCAAGTGCATTTTATTATATTCTTATGTCATAGGTCAGCAAATTACTTGATGGTAAGCAATAGGCTTTACCCATGGACACCCGTAACATAAAAGAGTTATGAGTGCGTCGTTGGCCTTTTGCTGTTGGCACACAACGCTGTGGTTTGTTGTTTTACGGTTTCCAGTTTTCTGTGAGGCAATGGTGTCATTTTAGTCGAGCCGACACATTAGTGCCGAATCGTGACCCACACTTATTATGTGTTGTTAATATACATTTTTTTCTCTCTAATAATCTCGAAGTGTCAGCTTTGTTGAAAGAAGGACACAGTTTCTGGCGCAAGAAGTCTGGTGCCTATAATTGCCAATCTTAACTAAATAGTTATTTGTTCACAGACATTGATGAGTGTGCATTGAAACTGGATAACTGTGCCAGTGGCCTGCATTGTCTGAATCTGCTGGGGTCATTCACCTGCACCAGACGGGCTGTCACCAGCAGCACCACCACCACTACCTCCACCAGCCCCCCACTCTATGAATACGAATACTATGACTCCGAGTAAGTATTTTTACGTACTATTTTACACTATTCACCACTTCTATAAGTATTCAAGAAAAGAATAAGCTTAATTATTACCATTGTCATACAATAGAAGATTGAATGAATACTTTCTTATTTATACTACTACATGATTGAGAAATCATGTTTATAGAGTTAGTCTACAAACGCTAACGAGGGGACATTGCACGATATTCCCCTCGAAAAAACCAATTGTGACATAAAATAAATAAATACTTACGAAAGAATAAGTGTATGTTTTCAAGATGTGTTCAATAGTGTTCAAGATTCTTCTTATGTATAAATCTCTCTTTAATGTTGAAGAGTTAGAAGCTACAAATGTCTAAACATTCTTCTGCAGCGAAGACAACTCAACAACAGACAGCGGTTATCCGGAGACTGTACCAACAGTGCCAGCCACGTCCAGCACCACAACTACAACGACTACTTCTACCACCACCACACCAAAACCTACCACCACGTCGACCACGACAACCACAACCACAACAGCAAAACCAACCAGCACCTCAACAGCCAGACCCCGAAACTATCCATACCCAACCTACTACGACAGACCAGCTACAACTTCTTCAACAACGACAGTAAGGACTCCGAGAAGACCAGACTATTACCCGCGAAGACCATACAATCGAAGACCAGAAGTCAGCACTAGAAAACCGTTACCACCTTACAGACCAGATAATCCAGAACCTACTCCAGACGTTCCAAATGATAGGAGACCTTTACCTCCTTATAGACCACCAAATAGTAGACCTTCCAGGCCAGAAACACCACCGACACGGCCTGAACCTACTCCTGAAGTACCAGATGATAGGAGAACGAATGAGATTGGAGAAGGGAAACCCAAAGATGAAACTCCAGATTTTAATTTAAACGATCTGCATTGTTTGGATGGATATGAAAAGGATGCAGCTGGAAATTGTGTTGGTAAGGAATCAGAAATAGGACTATTCTTGTATTTAACTTTTAAGAGACTTATTTATACATTAATTATTATGTTTAACAGCTGTAGCCTATGTATTAATATAGGGTACAGCTGTTAAGTTATCTACATCCTAAATACAAACCAAATCGGTCCAACCGTTTTTGCGTGAAAGACTAACAAACATCCATCCATCCATACATCCTCACAAACTTTATTATAATACTAGCTGTTGCCTACGACTCCGTCCGCGTGGTCTTCAGTTAACAGCGCGCCGTGGTTCCCGTTTCCGTGGGAATGCCAAGATAAATGCCTACATTACCGCAAGGGTTACTCATAATCCATTTAGTAGTTTTTGCTTGAGCAACAAACATTCAAACATCCTCACAAATTTTCGCATTTATAATATTAGTACCTAGGATTTTAGTAGGATTATGATTATTTCCAAAAATATCCATGACTGTTTAGTGTTTGTTGCAAAAACAACTGCGTAATCAACTTCAATATTTTCCAGATACAGACGAATGTGCTCTCGGGCAACATGCGTGCAAAAATACCGAGGTGTGTATGAATAGGCCGGGTGGATACATCTGCGAGTGTATGACCGGGTTCCGCAGGGATCCTTCAGGGTACTGCACCGTGATCACTACTCCTGCAACAGCTAGAACCACTACCAGTACCACTACCTCCACCACCACAACTACAGAAAGGACTGCTGGTGAGTTTACTCCCGATAACACTTTAAATAATAATCCGCGAGGCAGCTTGTGGCGAGCTGTTGGGCAGTGGCGACCCCACGGACCTGACTCCCGGGAGGTGTCTTGTTACCTCTCCTTCCCCAAGCAGCTCAACGTAATTTTATTTGAATAAGTTGTTCAGTCACATCGTACGTCATCGTACTTTATGATGTTGCGCTTTGATTTTATATGATCATCTAATAAAACTGATTGATGCTGATGGCAGCGTAGTCTATGTATAACTAAAGCTAATTGATTACACAGTAGGAAAGACAAAAGTTTTTGTACTAAATAAAATTAAAATAAGTCTTTTGTTACTCTCGACTATTTGCCATGAGTATTATGTCCCAATAGGAGTGGCCTTAGACCTACAAATTCAACCGGTAGCAGACCTACAAATAATCGTTCGGCTTGGAGCAGGAGAAGAGTGGAATAATCCCTTTCGCCCTGGCGTCATATCATGATTTATGCCGTAATACCCTACTATCGTTTGAAGGAATAGCAAATTTAACGTTAAAGAATATTAAATAGAGGTTTTGCATCATTAAATAATAAATTGTTTGTTACTTAATTTCAGTCGCAACACCTGAATGGGGATACACACCAGCTAGACCGAGCCTCCCAGAGCGCCCAGACCGTCCGGATCGTCCAGAACGCCCAGACCGCAGATACCCTCCAGTTTCTTGCGAATTAGGCTTCACCTTTGACAACAGTGCTGGGAAATGCGTTGGTAAGTTTCAGTAGCATTTTACTGCAATTTTATAAAGTAGGTAAGTGTTTCTATGAGTCAAGGATAGTGTAAATAAAGTCTTTCTATTGAAGCTTCCGAACGAAACAAGCAAACAACCAAGAAGAACTAATGCTTTAAAGTTCTTCTACTTCTTCTAAAAAGAAGAACATATTACAGTATTTTGCAAAAATGTCTCAAACGAGCCTTCCCTATCTTTACATAATCTACAGATATAGATGAATGCGCTACCAATCAAGCCTCGTGTTCAGCTCTGGAGGATTGCATAAACGTGGAAGGTGGTTACCGCTGTGAATGTGGAAGAAGATGTAGAGGAGATGACAGATCGATGTACAGTAAGTTTCAAGTATACGTTTTTTGAAGGGGAAAATCCTCAAATGACTTTTCCCGCCCTGGGTAAGGCGAAAGGAAGTGTCAGACTCTTACTGACTTAAAACCACACCGTTCCATTTTCTAATTTACGAGGGATTGAGGTCCATTATTGTGTTTGTCTCGCAACCTCGGCTGAAGTTTAATACCATACTACCAAACTTAGTGGAGAGAATGTGACAGACGTTGCAGTTTCAGTAAACCCCCAAGCTCCCAGAAATTTTTGATCTAATCGTTTACATTTGTTGGGCAGATTAAATAAGTATATTCCCTCAATATTATATATTATTGCCATATGGGCAGTGAATGAAATCCCCAAGCCAGAGCAAACAATTTTGCTTCTCCACAAATTTCCAACGCCTAAGTTTTTTCCAGGTCCAGCTCCCACAAGTTCTACTGCTCGGCCATCATCAGCTCCATCGAACGAGGGTCGTAACGTGATTACAGTGGGGGCACAATACGGGCAGAGAGGACCTTACTCCCCGCGCCCTACGTACACCAGGCTTCCTGATGTTGGAGCTTTAGTAGCCTCGTGTCCTTGGGGATACAAGCTTACTCCTGAAAAGAGATGCTATGGTAAGTTGGGATTACAGCAAATTTAGTATAAGGAAATGTATTATTTGTGGAGTGCACCATATCTATTTTGAAGAGCAAAAATGTTGTGTACAAATATTTGGATTATCACTGTTTATGTCGAAGGTCAAATATGTGGCTTCTTAAAATCTTAAAACCTGGAAATTACCCTAACATTTGTCATATTTGGACAAATTAAATGGATCTTGTGGAATTTAAAACAAATTTCCGTGCGTTTATTTTTGCCATATTTATTTCTGGAAACAAGTATAGCAGTGCACACACAGATCCCATTATAATAGTAATTTTTTCATGGTGTTTGATGACTGAGTTCTCCCAGAGGTAGTCTCGCTTCAGCTTTTAAGTCATTCTGTCTCCTGTATTACATTTACCGACGGAAGTGGAAACTATTTAGTTTTGTCTTCTCCTCAAATATTATCTTCTGATTTATTTCGTTGCCGGATCCAAGACGTCCATGACCATAGCACGCGCTTCATGATTCCGGCATTTTCATAGTTGCATCTACTGTAGGCTGGCTGGCTTACAGGAGTTGTAGCGGTTTTTGGGAGGTTGAGTTGTTTACCTGCATACTTATGAGTTTTACTTTCAATTCCTAGATATTGATGAATGTGCCCGTAATATTTCGGAGTGCGGACCAGACCAGCGATGTGAGAACTTCTACGGAGGGTACTCGTGTCAGTGCCCAGCTGGTCACAGGCTGGTGGGACAGAACATGTGTGAGGATATCAACGAGTGTATGCATGGCAATGTAAGTTAAATCAATGACGAAGTAGATTCTAAAATGATTAAACTTGTATTATTTTGTATTCAAATTATTGAGGAGAGAAAAGATTAATCTTCATTTGAATAGAAAAGGCAAGAGCAAATATTGAAGACCTTATGAATTATGATGCCGTGACGTGACGTTATAAGTACCAAAAGTAATGTCACAAATTATTTTCTTAATGTTATAGAATGAAACCAATAAGTCATTTAATCCTCAGAAAGATTCATCCCAAACGAGATTGGGCAAACTATTATGGCACTCGATAGCGCTTTTTTTCTTAGGAGTTGAAACCAAGATTTCCCAATCCCTTTTATTTATTAGCTTGACACATTTTTTGTTTTCCAGCCATGCGCATATAACGCAGACTGTCTTAACACGTGGGGTTCATATCGATGTGAGTGCCGCGCTGGTTTCCGTAATGCCCCGTCCAATGACAAGGTGTGTGTTGACGTGGACGAGTGCTCCGAAACTCCTGGAATCTGCAGTCAGGGCTGCTCCAATACTTGGGGCAGCTACCGGTGCTACTGCAAGAGGGGGTACCGTCTTGATGATGATAACAAGTAAGTGAAGAGGGGGTAGATCTTTATCTATGATGCAAAAATCCTTAGCAAGAAAATGTCCCTAACGTCCTTAATAGTTAGAGAGTTACTGTACCTCACTTCTTTTATTATCGTACCACAACCGTCGTCATTACCAATCACGATTGACATGGTCGGCGTTTGTCCATGGAATAAATATGATTCTTTTCACTGGCTACCTCTCATTTGAAGGGGATAAAATCATCCAATGATAGCCAACCCCTTAATAACTTAAATATACTTCGTCCCTTCTTCTGTTCCACGGTGGGGCTCCGGCAAATTATTGTGTTTGCAACTTCTAGTCTAGTCTAGTCTTCTAGTCTCTTAGGCGATAGTCGCACCATATTATCAATAAACTTATTTGGCACGTTCTCAAATTTAGTTCATCAGATACATAGTGGCTATCCAAATGTTTTGAATCGCGCCCTAATACCCACAAACACACGTTACCACTTAGCCTTTTTCACCTACAAGCCACATTATTTTCAGGACTTGTGTGGATGTGAATGAATGTGAAGAGTTCTCATTAGTTCGTCTCCGTGGCAAGCTGTGTGGAGGGGAGTGTGTCAACGAGCCAGGCAGTTACCGGTGCGCCTGTCCTGCAGGATACAGGCTGTCGGAAGACAGTAGAAGCTGTATTGGTGAGGCACAAAGTTTTCTGCAGATCATAAGTGGAATTGCAACATCTTTTGACCTTTTTGGTAATGGGAAGATCATCAAATGACTTCTCACCGGTGAGGCGAGAGGGTGTGTCAGACTCTTACTGATTCAAAACCCTCCCGTTACTTTTTCTTCTCCGGGTTGGGGTAGATTTACCTTATTGTGCTTGCCCCTCAACAACAATTTCCAATGCATTCACAAGACATAGGCCCAGTAGATTAATGCTCAAACCTTCTCCGAGTGGGCTGTTGATGATGAGTCTGGAACTCATCATCAACAGCTCACTCGGAGAAGGTTTGAGCATTACATTACATACATTAGATGTAGCTTTAAAGGCTATTTTTCATGCTTAAGTAATTTTTATTCAGCAGTTTTCCTGACGCTGAACTATAAACATTGATCTGTTGGTTATTATAATGGTATTGAATAGCTTTAGTACGTCTACATCAGTTATAATTCTTTGTTTGGTGAACTTACAGATATAGATGAGTGTGAGACGGGCGAGGCTCGGTGTGCACATAGTAGTGACGCTGGGTACGTGTGCCAGAACACACGAGGAAGCTACCACTGTCACCACATCGACTGTCCCCCAGGGTACAAGCTGGAGTCAAAGCAGTGAGTAACGTCTATCTATCACTGTTCTAGATCTTCATTTAAATATATTATATTTTAGGTGGAAATGGAACTTGAAAATTTGTAAAAAACATTACGGATGAACCACATTACTTTATAATGGGTCGGCTCGATCAGAGTGATATTACGTGTTTCTGTGAGGTTATAGGAGGAGGTCGAATATTTCCTCTCACCATTTTCCTTCCAAATCCCTAAATCCCCATAACTCCTAAAATGCACTTCGTGTGAGTGAGATTATTGGTTGGACCTCCAGTAACCTCATTTACAGCGACACACAACATAAGTGTTGCTTCACGCGGGTTTTCTGTGAGGCCGTGGTATCACTCCGGTCGAGCCGACCTACTCGTGCCGAAGCTTGCTCTCGATTATCGATCTCTTGATCCAGATTATTTGCAGTTGTGATGTGCTGTCTTAAATGTTCCATTGTTTTCAGCCGTTGTGTCCGCGTGCAGAGGGCCTGCCAAGTTGGTGATTGGACCTGTTTGCAGCAACCCAGCACTTACAGCTATAACTTCATTACCTTCGTCGCCAACATCTACCTGCCTTCTGGAAGTGTAAGATTTTTTTTGCAATTTTTTTACTTTTTGTTTCACTGTGTGTCGCTAGTTTAATTCCCGCACGGAACAATTCTTTGTGTGATCCACAGCTTGTTGTTCCGGGTCTGTGTGATGTGTATATGCGAAATTGTATATTTGTAAATGTACTCACGACACAGGACAAAATCCTAGATTCGGGCAACTTTTATCTATATAATTATATTAAAATCAATGCGACTTTTCGTTGTAATGTTATAACTCAACAATGCCTGTACCGATTTGGCTAATTTTGGTTTTGAATTATTCGTGGAAGACCAGAGATGTTTGCCCGTAAAGAAAATTGAAATAGTGTAAAATCGACATCCACGAGGGCGGAGCCTCGGGCGACCACTAGTAATATAATAAAAGGAACTTAGGAGAACTTGTAATTTGTGAATTGTTTTCTTGTCTATACAAGACCCAGTAATACCTCCAAAGTCTCGGGGACCTAATAAAATGGAACAAATAACTAAACGAAATGTGAAACTTATGTCTAGTAGATAAGGTTATAAATTTTATTTCAGTGTTATTTACAAAGATTATCTTGATGATATGTTTCCAGGTCGACCTTTTCACGATGCACGGTCCATCGTGGCGGGAGTCTTTAGTTAGTTTTGAGATGCGAATGATATCGGTCCAAGCGTCTCCTGGCATACAACCAGCTGATCTTCGATGTTTCGAGTGAGTATACTATCACTACATCACTTCATAGTCTATACTAATATTATAAAGAGGTAAAATTTGTAAGTTTGTATGTAGGGGGTAATCTTTGGAACCGCTCGGTGGATTGTGAAAATTCTTTCACTGATAGCTACAATGTTCCTGAGTGCTATAGGCTATAAAACAACACGCTACGATCAAATGGAGCCGCGCAACGGGTGAAAACGCGCTTTCTCTGTCCCTATATCTTGTATGAGTAATTCTTTAAAATTACGCAACGGATTTTGACGCAGTTTTCTTAATAGTTGGAGTGATGTATGTACTTAGGTATATGTATGTATAATAACATCAACAGTGGCGAAATCCAAACTAATATTATAGATGCGAAAGTACCTCTGTCTGTCTGTCACACTACTACGTTCAGTAGTTTAGGCGTGAAGAAAAGACAGATAGACAGACAGAGTTACTTTCGAATTTATAATATTAGTTGGTTTTGTTGGTTATTTAGTATGTTACTATTCAAAAACTAATATAATTTCCTTTTTGTATATTCCAGCATGCGTCCATCAGGTAATATTTGCGTGATCTCGCTCCTCTGCTCGCTGCAAGGACCCCAAGTGGTGGAACTTGAGCTCACCATGTCTCTCTACCAGCGCACCATGTTCGCCGGCAGTGCGGTCGCCAGACTCGTCGTAATCGTCTCGCAGTATGAGTTCTAGTGATATTGTAATAAAGACTATTTTAGAACAGCACCTAGCCTTATTCTGTTCCTTAGTTTGAATTAAGAAAATAGTGAAATAGTTTAGTGACTTTTTTATTGAAACGTTGTGTAATAATAAATATGTAATATATAATAATAAATATATGTAGGGATGTTCAGTAGTCATATAGGTGATAATTATTCTTTTTGATTGTATTTCTGAGTATTTCCGGTAAGGTTTATAACAATGAGACTTTTTAAATTCATTCCTTCAGTTTTTATCCTTAGTGCTCACAACTTCCTTGTCTACTGACCAAACCAGTCTGGTTTTGAAGACACTGAATAGGATTACCAAAAATCTAAGAAGAGAAAAAATCTAAGACATACATTATACATACTATCTTTTTTTTCTGCAAATAACTAAGGGCTTGCCACAAGGAAGTATACTGTTGGTCATTAGATCTTAAATTTCATTATTCCCAATCCATTTTAAACTACTCTAAAACAGTATTTGACCTTTGAATAAAGAAAACAATAACCTACGAATACTCTAAACATTTCTAAATTCCTTACAAAAACTGATAATAATATATTTGTACCTAATATTGAAAATGTAAATTTTGTTTATACTGTCAATTTTATTGTAACGACTACTTAATATTTATATTATAAAAAAACCTGGTATTAAATACCTATTAGTTTTGTAACAGACTTTTATTAAACCTGTTTAAACTGACATTTTTTTATGACAAATGGACAGATATATTACCTGATGGTAAGCAAAAGGAGCCGCCAATGGGCACTTGCAACACCTAAGCGTGTGTCCACATCTGGCGAATGTGCCGCGAATGCGCAGCTCGCGAGCCGACTGCGACCGGCCCGCGAGATGCGCGCGTGCAATCACTGCAATGGTTTGGTGCGCCTCTTTAGCGCAACTCATGCACGGCTCGTATAGAGCGCGCGAGCCGCGCACGATCTGCACGCACTCCGTTCTCGCCTATTTTTTTTGGATTTTTTCTATAGTAATATTTATCTTTAGGATCCCATAACACTGGATATATTTTATACGTTTCAATTAAGCGTAAACAATTCTCCTCCGTCCACTCCATGACAACACGCACTTAGCCTCCAGTAATCAGAAACGAACTGAGCGGGTAAGTTATGAATTATTTAATAATTGCAGAAGCGGCGCACGAACAAAAATGCACGCGTGCAGCTCGCGGGCCGGTCGGAAACGTCTCGCGAGCTGCGCATTCGCGGCACATTCGCCAAATGTGGACGCACCCTTAGAAGTTACAGATGTCGTGCTATTGTGTAGGTACTTTTAGGGATTTCAGAATTTTGGAATTCGATTGGCGAAAGGGACAGGGACGAATGACCATTTCTATGGTAAGCTCAGACGGCGAAATACAATAAAAGGGTTATTTCCCATGAGTTTTCTGAGAGAGCTTAGTATCACTCCGGTCGAGCCAGCCCTTTCATGCCGAAATAAGGCTCTCCTATATAGAATTTATAGATAATAGCTACTCTCGCGCGGTTTCACACGCTGCTCGGCTCCATTTGATCGTAGCGTGATGTTTTATAGCCTATAGCACTCAGGAACATTATAGCTATCTATCAGTGAAATAATTTTGGGAATCCGACCAGTGGTTCCAAAGATTACCCTCTTCATACAAACTTACAAACTTACAAATTTTACCTCTTTATAATATTAGTATAGAAAAGTGTGTCAGTCAGTTCGCCATTCAGTCCTCTAGCAGTAATAGAAAGAAACTCCATGGTATTAAACTGATTAACTACTTTTTTTTAGATTTTTAATAAAGCTTTGGGTACAGGCAGACGGCATAAAATAATAATTCTTGTGTTTCTTGAACCATAATACAATAGTTTCTTTGTCATACAACTGTGTTTGTACGATTACGAAAAAGGTCAAAAGTTATCTCAAGTATTCAACAGCCCATATTGGTAATACCCTCGAGCAAAAACATTGCAGTTAGGAAAAACCAAATAGATAAATGATACTCCCAACTCAACTCGACTTCTCAAATCAAAATTTATATAGTTTTAAAATTCAATTATTAATCGCCGTAACTGCCGTAATCAAGGTCACGCTTAGTCAATTTTAATGCATAAAAAAATTGGGTGTTCTGATAAATACAAACTCTTAATGATGTAGGAGAGTCATGCCTCGACACGAATGGGCCATGGGATACCACGGCCTCCGACAAAGCCGGCGTAAAACAACCAAAGCGTTGTGTTTCGCTTTGTGAGTAGGTAAGCTCACCTGAGGAGGTGACTATCTCAAATCCCTCCCCAATCCTTACCACTTATCTCTCAAAGTCAGGTAAGGCACTTGCAATCCCTTTAATGTTGCGGATTAATAATTTATTTATTTATTTATTTAATTTATGTTAACGCGGATTTGATCCAGTTACATTAACACAGCAATAATGAAATCATAGAGGAAGAGAAAAAACAATACATAAACAGACGAACTTAAAAAAAACAATTAAACAAACAAACATAAATTAAAAACCCTCATTGGAACTAATATATTTTAGTGTGGGAGAGCCATGCTTCAGCACGACTGGGTCGGCTCGATCGGAGTGATACCACAGCCTCACAGAAAACCGGCGTGAAACAACCACAGCGTTGTGTTTCGCCGTGTGAGTGAGGTTACCGGTGTCCCAATCCTTCCCCTACCCCAATCCCACCCCAATTCCTAAATCTCCAAAACCCTAATCCCTGAAAGGTTGGAAACGCACTCGTAACTCCTCCGTTGCGGCTGGACATGGGCGACGCTGATTGCTTACCATCAGGTTATCCGTCTGCTCGCTTGCCGACCTACTACATAAAAAGAGTGACTTTCACAAAAACTCAAACATCTACCAATATCTAATACTACTTCTAACAATATCGGATATCCTTGGGCTGCGTTAGAGCGCCGAAATCCCGATGGTGCGCAATCGACCAACAAGTAGACGGATTAAGAGCCATAGCAATTAATAGGAAAGATCAGAAGAGAAGCTTAATCTTACCCTAGATTTTTTTACTTAAAATAATGTATTAATTAAAACAAGGTGTCAAGTGGATGTTACATTTACGTGCCCTCTGGTTTCTGTCAGCGGCTTCACTGTGCAGTGATAGGATAAAAAAATCTGATTATATTATTTTATTACTCCAGATTATAATCTAACAATACAATTACTACAACTATTACTACTGCTTTTCGTCGTTGTGGAGATATTTTTTGTGAGGGGAAAATCATCAAATGACTTCTCCCGCCCAGGGCTGGGCGGGAGGGAGTGTCAAACTGTTACTGACTAAAAACGCCCCTGTTCCTTCTCTTGCTCTGGGCCGAGGTCGCGGTGCCTTATTGCGCTTACCCCGCAACCCCGGCTGAACATCAGCCCTATAGGGCCCCGTCTGTGGTGGTCTATTGGCTCTTAGAGGCGCGCGCGGAACGCTACGTGCCTTACGCTGGGGTGTCGTTGTGGAGGTTAAGGCGCCCTCTTCTCATGCAAGAGGATGCGGTTTCGAAACCTGGCAGGTGAATGCACCCTATTCGATGATTTCCAAGTTATGTGTACTTTCTATGATTATATAGACACCAAAAAACGGACACCAAGCCGGCAAAAGCAAAAGTACCGCGAGGAAACCTGGATTTATAATTTTTTATTCTAAGTTTGAAATCGCCAATCGGTGATTTTGTTTGTAATGCTCAAACCTACGTTTCAGAAGATGCTTTTGCTTCACAGTGGGCACTTTAATATTATGATGTGATGTAATGATGATAATCTACCTGTGGCTGCGGCCCCAAACGAAATTATGTGATGTATTGAGAAGGCAAGGCAGTAAGAGTGTTACAATGACACTCCCTTTTGCCCCACTCAGGGCAGATGTCAATTAAGGCTATCTATCTCTGTGCCAAACTTCATTTTAGATTCGTTCAGTAGTTTTTATGTTAAACAGTTACAATCATTCTTTGATCTTTTTCATCCAACCATCTATCGATGCTTTCTTAAAAACTTTTCCTTTTTATAAATATTAACAGGATGTAGGATACTAATACATATAATTTACGTCTCTTCGTGAACCTTAGGAAAAAAACAACAGTTGTCATAATTAGGGCCGGTGAATAAGCTATCGGATCACCTGGTGGCAAGCAATCGGCAACATCCATAGACACCTGCAATTAACAAGGTACTTACAAGATCTTTGCCGATCTTTTAAGGGTTAGCTACATTGGATTTTGGGTTGATGATGTGAAGGATGGGTCTGGGTGGCAGAATGCCCAGAAAGCAAGCGTGGTTCTACGCCGGTTTTCTTAAAGGCCGTGAAATCACTCCGGTCGACCCGGCTCTTTTAAACCGGGGCGTGGTTCTCCCACTTTAGAAAGTACATACATTTTATCCTAGTGTCGTATGTAAGTGTTATCATACAATATTGCAGCGGTCTCCCTGATGCCTCGCATTACGACTTCAGCCAGTGCGCAAGCAACTTCGAATACAAGTTGCGGACATAAAAAAAAATTGCAACCCAAAACGCTAAATTTTATGTGTTACATTTTTTTTTAAACAATAATGTTTTTTTTATTCGTGATTCATATAATCGTGTGCTTATCTGCGTCGGAAGTTTTCGGTGAGTTTCCTTATTTTTTTTTTACTTTTGGATAAGGAGGTTGATTAAGAGTTTTTTTAATGTTTGAAAATCATATAAACGATTATCTCGCTCTTGGTGGCGAGTATGTGTCAGACTTTTATTGACTAAAAAGCTAGTAGGAAGTGCTTTCTAGGGACTACTGAGCAAAGCCCTCTTCTAACACGGATAAGATTTGAACAATAACTATTAAATGGACGTCATGGTGGCCAGGGGGTTAAGGCGGTTCTCATTCATGGGTTCGAAACCTGGTAAGTACCAATGTGACTTTATCCGAGTTATATGTGTAGAGATATACTTTCTGTGATTATTTAGACACTGCTGACATACGGTCAAGAGAAAAACATCATGTGGAATTTGGAAACCTGGACTTATAATTTCTACTTATAAGTTTGAAATCGCCAATCCGCATTGAGCAAGCGTGGTGATTAATGCTCAAACCTTCTCCGTGTGGGAAGAGGCCTTTGCTCAGCAGTAAGTACTTGTAGGCTGATGATGTAATCTGTATCTGTATGTATGTCAGTGGTGATACGGCCATAAAGCCTGTAAATAATGAGCGCTATCCTTCAAAAGAATGGCAATGCACTTCTTGGTGCTTTGATCTATTTTTATGTAATAGGACGACAAACGAGAAGACTGATTACCTGATGGTAAGCAATCAGTACCGCCCGTAAACACCCAGAACAGTTTATTTTTTTTTTGTGAGGGGAAAATCATCAAATGACTTCTCCCGCCCAGAGCCGGGCAGGAGGGAGTGTCAGACTCTTACTGACTAAAAACCCCCCTGTTCCTTCTCCTGCTCTGTGCCGAGGTCGCGGTGCCTCATTGCGCTTACCCCGCAACCCCGGCTGAACATCAGCCCTTTAGGGCCCCGTCTGTG